GCACACACACACGAAAAAAAAAGAGAAAAGATTGCTGAGAAATTAGAGCAGCTAAGAATAGATCTGAGCCAGGTGCTGGTGGCTCACACCAGTTAGTCTAGCAACCCAAGAGGCTGAGACCTGAGGATTATGGTTCAAGGTCAGCCTAGGCAGGGAAGTTCATGAGACTCTTACCTCCAATAAACCACTCAGAAAACCGAAGTGGCACTGTGGCTCAAGTGGTAGAGCGCTCGCCTTGAGCTGAAGAGCTGAGGGACAGTGCCCAGGCCCAGAGTTCAGGCCCCACGATCGGACCCCCCCCCCCAAAAAAAAGAGAGGAAGTAAAGCAGGTTCTGTTGAGCAAGGTAGGACTGAAAAAAAGAGTGGAAGAGGAGGAATATGGTGACAGAGTTTATTGGCATGGGTGCCGATAGAACAATGAAACCTGTTCAAGTTTTGAAAAGGGGAGGGGGAGTGTGGGGGGAGGCTATTCTGGATACACAGTATACACATGTGGAAATGTCACCATGGAATCCTCTTTGGTTCAGTATGATGAATGTGTTCCCCAAAGAAGAGAGAGATGGCATGTGAGGATACTGAATTACTGGTCATCTGGGAGACGCGGAGGGAGAAGCATCAGGAGAAGCCAGTGCTGCTGCGTGGGACTCCAGGCTCAGCAGCCTCCAGAGGAACTCAACATATCCCTGTTATGTTGTTGGATAACAAAGATGGGTGAAAGGAGAGGGAGGAAAGGCTCCTATGGGGCTGGGAAGGTGGCTCAGTGGTAGAGCGCTTGCCTTGCATGCATGAGGCCCTGGGTTCGATTCCTCAGCACCACATAAGCAAAAAGAAAAAAGCTGGAAGTGGCGCTGTGGCTCAAGTGGTAGAGTGCTAGCCTTGAGCTGAAGAGTGGAGGGACAGCGCCCAGGCCCAGGGTTCAGGCCCCACGACCGGACCCCCCCAAAAAAAGAAAAGGCTCCTATGCAGGTATGAATAGAATAATAATTCTATTATTCGAATAAGTTTTAAAAGGGGAGGAGGGGCAGAGTAATGGGAGGGTGAATTTAATCAAAAGTAATTATATATCCCCTATGTTATAATCACTGTCAGTGGAAATAAAGCCAGACTTCCCAGGCATTGAATTTAGATTTCAAGGAATTGGATTGTTTTCTAATACATTTCTTCTTGCACTGGGACTTAAGCCGTTCTGACATCCTGAACTATAAATAAACCACTTGTCCTGCAAGAGGTGATGGGTTCAATCCCCAGCACAAAACAAATCCCCCCCAGGCTGGGCGCTGGTGGCTCACACTTGTAATCCTAGCTACTCAGGAGGCTGGGATCTGAGGATCACGGTTCAAAGCCAGCCTGGGCAGAAAAGGGTGTAAAACTCTTTATTTTTTTAGTTAATGGTGGGGCTTGAACTCTGGGCCTGGGCGCTGTCCCTCAGCTCTTCAGCTCAAGGCTAGTGCTCTACCATTTGAGCCACAAAACCACTTCGGCTTTTTCTGCTTATGTGGTGCGAGGGATCAAATCCAGGGCCTCGTGCATGCGAGGCAAGCACTCTACCACTGAGCCACCTTCCCAGCCCCTGTGAAACTGTTATCTTCAATTAAATACAAGGACACCGGAAGTGGCACTGTGACTGAAGTGGTAGAGCGCTCACCTTGAGCTGAAGAGCTGAGGGGCAGCGCCCAGGCCCAGAGTTCAAGCAGCCCCAGGACCTACCAACCCCCCCCCAAAGAAAAACCACAAAGGAGGTTCTATATGAACCTGTAAAATAAAGCTTCCATTTTAACCACAAGCCAACATGTAATTAGAAACCTTTGAGTCAGGGTTTGTTGGCAGACCATTATGGCTCCCAGAAAACCACCATTTAACTTTGTCAGATGTGGGACCCATAGTTGAAGTGGTTGAGTACCTGCCTTACCAAGTACAAGGTCTTGAGTTCAGACCTCAGTTCTGCCCAAGGAAGAGAGCACCAATTTGTCATGTGGAGTAGGCTGCAAATATCTGAACTCAGAGCCGTGAGGCGCTGGAATCCTGCTGTTCTAAGCGGAGGAGGCATCACAGGGGCAGCCAGCCCACAGTGGGCAAAAAATAATAATAATAAAAATAAAAAGCCGGGTGTTGGTGGCTCACGCCTGTAATCCTAGCTACTCAGGAGGCTGAGATCTGAGGATCATGGTGCAAAGCCAGCCAGGCAGGAAAGTCCATGAGACTCTTATCTCCAAGTAACCACTAGAAAACCAGAAGTGATGCTATGGCTCAAATGGTAGAGCGCTTGCCTTGAGCTGAAGAGCTCAGGGACAGCACCCAGGCCCAGAGTTCAAGCCCACGACTGACCAAAACAAAACAAAAAAATCCCCACAATGTTCTCTTCAGGTCTAGAGTGGGGTGGGCGGGGCCTTGTGAAGAGGCTGGGTCAGCTGAGGCGCTCAGAAGCCTCCCCCTGCTCAGTGTGGACCAATAGAACAATGGGAGGTTCAGGCAGGAGTCAAGGGGAAATCACAGTGGGTCACCATGGCAACTTGCTGCCGGGAAGGTAAATTCTGGATTAAAAAAAAAAAAAGGATCCAGACATTCTTGTCCATAATCTACTCAGAAGGTTGAGATCCGGAGGATGGAGGTTCCAAGCCAGCCTGAGCAGAAAAATCCAAGCGAAACTCTTATCTCTGCTTAAGTGGCCAATCGCAGGTACCGGAAGTGTGGCTCAAGTGGTAGAGCCACAGATCTGAGGCTCCGAGTTCAAATCCTAGCTCCTCTCCGTCTGTCTGTCTGTCTCTCCCCCTCCCAGAACTACACATGGCACCTTCCCGGCTCACCCCATGCTTTCTTCCTTGGGGTGGTGGGAGACACCCACCCCAGGGTCTAGGGCTGCCCCCCTGCTCACCCGGCCTTGCTCCAGGCCATGGGCTCCATCATCCAGACGCGGTCCCCACAGGGGCTCAGCTCCCGCCGGGGCTCCCCCATCCTCCAGCCTCTGTGCCCCACCCCTCCAGGGAAACCCACAGCCCCCGTGCTGATTCACCCCCTTCTCCATCCGGGTAAGTGGGAGTCCTTCCTCCTGCCTCAGGGACTGGGGGGGAGGGGAGGGGAGGGAGGGATGGGGTTCTCCATTCACTCACCTGTAGTTAGAGACTCTGGGGTGCGCTTCCCCACACACGCTTCTTTTTTTGGTGGCAGTACTGGGGTTTGAACTCAGGGCCTCCCGCGTGCTTGGCAGGTGTTCGATCACTTGCAACAAACCTTCGCACACCCCTTTACACTTTTGTTCAAATAGAACCTCACGTTGATGCGGCGGGAGAGCGGGAGGGGCGGGGAGCCTGGGCTGTGAGCCTCTCTTTCCATTCTCCTTGTAGGGAGAGTGTGCCACCAGCGCCCAGCTTTCTCCTGTGAGATGCAAGCCTCACAGTCCCCTCTCCCCCAGCTGGGGGCCTGGACCGGCCTTAAACTGTAATCCTCTCCATCTCTGCCTCCGCGGTAGCTGGGATTGCAGGAGTGAGGCACTGAACCTGACCTTGAACAAGCAGCTGTGAGGGTGGGTCTGGTACCCCTTCCCTTCCGGTTACAGAAGTCCCTGGTAGGGAAGGTTATCTGGGGCACAGAGGTTGGTGGTGGGGAGACATGACAGAGCTGGGCTCCCACAAAGCCCATGAGACCTAGGGAGCGCCTGGCTGGCCACGGGACACACCAGCTTCATCTAGAAATGATTCCTACGGTCTGAGGCGACCTTTTAACCCCCAAGTAATGTTCAATGCATTTTCCAAAACAAAAAACAAAACGCTGTCTTAATACGTTGCCTAGGCGTGTCTAAAACTCTTAGCACCCCCCTTCCTGTTCACACGCCTCAGATGCTGGGCCTCCATTGGTATTTTTTTTTTTTTTGTCAGTCGTGGGGCTTGAACTCTGGGCCTGGGCGCTGTCCCTCCGCTCTTCAGCTCAAGGCGAGCATTTGCCGGGACTCCAAATGTGTACCACTACACCCAATTACACAGCATCTTTATGAGTTTTCTTAAAGAAGAAATCTCTAGCTGGGCACCAGTGGCTCATGCCTGTAATCCTAGCGACTCAGGAGCCTGGGTAGGAAAGTCCACGAGACACTTATCTTCCAATTAACCACCAAAAAGCTAAAAGTGGAGGTGTGGCTCAAATGGTAAGACTGCTAGCCTTGGGCAAAAGAAGCTTAGGGGTAATGCCCAGGCCCTCAGTTCAAGCCCCAGGACTGACACACATACCACCCCCCCCCAACACACAGAATAAACCTGTACACCTCTAAATAAAAACAGAGAAAGAAGGATATAGAAAGAATAGAAATAGGAACAGAAGAGTTCTGATAAAAAAAAATCATTCTGGTATTTTCCAGAAGGAATTGGTGTGTTTCAAATAAAGACAAGATATCCTTTTGATAACAAAGACATTATTATTCAAGTCCTACACATCAATCTTGTCTATATAACTTATAAATGCAGTGCAAAACACACAAATATAATTTCTGTAGATGCAGCTCCAGTGTTTCCAATCCTGCCCCTCTCAGTTTGTAAATGCGCTACCATCCTGATCTCCCTCACGGAAAGGCTTTGGGCTCTCAGAAGCATTTGAGCCCCAAAGAGCTCAGCCCCCCATGAGCGCAATTCTGGGTCTGAGCCACAAGAAGCTATTTCATGCTCTTCCAGGATCTCTGAGTTGTACATCCTGCCCATTTTACACCGCCTTCTGCTTCATCCAGAATAATTCACACACACACACACACACACACACAAAAGTTTTATCTGAAAAACACCACAGAACAAGTGGCTGAAAAAGATAAACTTTTACAATACAAACTTTTGTGTGTGTGTTTGTCCTTGGTGCCAGCCCTGAGACTCAAACTCAGGACCCTGGGCACTGTCCCTAAGCTTTTCTGCTCAAGGCTAGCGTTCTACCACTTTGAACCACACAGCTCCACTTCTGTCTGTTTTGGTGGCTAATTGGAAATAAGAGTCTTGTGGACTTCCCTGCTCGGGCTGGCTTTGAACCGTGATCCTCAGATCTCAGCCTCCTGAGTAGCTAGGATGACAGGCGTGAGCCACCAGTGGCAGCAGATGGATGGAATCCTTTCAATGCTGAGTTCTGCTGGTAACAGAACCAGTTGAGACTAATATTTCAGAATAACCTTAAAAAAAAAACAAACCTTACAAAGTGTTTCAAGTGAAAATCCTGCCCCAGAAGACTTCCTGTAATGCTGGCAGCTAACACAGAGTCCTTAGGGTACTTGGGGTGGTAGCCCTAGTGAATGCTGAGCTATGTATGGGGCTGCTCCCTAAAATCACAGGGAAGCCTACATCCCTGTGGAAGTTATTTACAGGTGACGAGTCGGCATGTCTGTCGGCCTGTGCGCTCCGTGCGCTGTGATTACGCCCACACCTGTGAAGACACAAAGCGATCAGCAGTCAGCAGCCAGTAAGATTTGAGTGTTTTGTTTCTTCCCTTCACCCCCCCCTTTTCCTCCTGCTCTTCCTCCTGGTACTGGGGCCTTGGTGCTGTCCCTCCGCTTTCTTGTTGCTCATGGCTAGTGTTCTACCACTTGAGCCATGGCTCCACTTCTAGATTTGTGCTGTTGAAGAGTCTCATAGACTTTTCTGCCCTGCCTGGCTTCAGACTCCCATCCTCGGATCTCAGCCTCCTGAGTAGCTAGGATTTACGGGTGTCAACTACTCAGGCCTGGCCAGACTTGAGTTTAAAGAGATGAAAACACTCTATTCGCCCCCTCCTTGTTAACCGCCTCCCGGGCATCTGGGGCCTCGGGAGCGTTTCTCCTCTGTCTCAGGAACTTCACCAAAATCCATGCATCCATTTTTCCTAAACACACCCAGGCCTCAGGACAATACAGACACCCAGGAGAAGAAACAGAAACATCGCTCACCCTCAGGGTATGATCCCAGGATCCCGAGCAGAAAGCCGTCCCGTCTGGCGAGACTCGAAGAGTGCTCACTCGGTTCTCGTGGCCAAACAGGATGGAGACCCGGGAGCCTTTGAGGACGTCCCACACGTTGATGGTGTAGTCATTGTAGCCCGCGAAGAGCAGGCGGCCTAGTGCCAGAAGATGGGTGGTTACTAAGTCCTTCCTTCCTTCCTTCCCCCAAGACACACTCGCCAGCTCATTCACGTATGCCAGACGCCCTTTCTTGGAATTCAGAGAGGACAAAGCACAGTGGAGGACGTGGGGCGGGGAGGAGGAAGTCACTGTAGCCATGATGGAAAGGTTTATAGGCACTCGAGGGCACTGTGCCATTATTATTATTAGTTGTTGTTGTTGTTGGTCGTGAGGCTTGAACTCTAGGCCTGGGCACTGTCCCTCAGCTCTTTAGTTCAAGGCCAGCGCTCTACCACTTGAACCACAGTTCAAAACCACTTCTGGTTTTCTGGTGGTTTATTGGAGATGAGAGGCTCATGGAGTTTCCTGCGGGGGCTGGCTTTGAACTGTGATCCTCAGATCTCAGCCTCCTGAGGAGCTCAACCACTGTACCATTTTTTTTTTAACCTTTCAGTAGTTAGGAACTTACACAACGTGAATTCTCAGAGGTAAAACCAACGGGCCATTTGGGTTGGCTTTGGAGGGCTGAGCAGGAGTAGAGTTTTCTGGGCAGACAAATTGAGAATCACCACGTGCAAAGACTCAGAGTAGGGGGGTACAGAGTTGTGCCTTCCTTGGCCTGTCCTGGCTTTCACTAACACCCCCCGCCATTCCCAGCTGTGAGCAGAGGGGCAGGAGCCTCAGGCCACTCCCTTTGGTGATGGAGGGGAAGGGAGACTGGGGAAGAGATGACCAGAGCTTGGCAGCCATGACCTCCTGGCCCGGCCTTGCCTGGAAGGACATGGCCTTCACTCTCCCACTGTGAATGCGCCAGGATGGAGGGGTGGCCGGGAGCCAAACCAGACACGCGTGACTTTGCCCTCTTTGCCCATCGGAAGTTTACTGGCAGACAGCTGATTGCCCTCAGGTCCCGTCTTACAGCGCGGGAGAAGTTTCTGGAATAAATCTTACCACTGAGGGAGAAGTCCACGCTGGACGCTCCGAAGATGATACTCTCCTTGGAATAGATGGCCACCTCCCTGTCTGCCCGCAGGTCATACAGACGGCACTGGGGGTGCAAAGAAACAGACAGAGGGGCAGAGACCCCTGAGCCCCAGCCCGCGGGACGTGACCGGGGTGGTCCCGGTGCATCAGGGGACCTGTGATTCCATCCTACCACCCCACTCCTGTTCATCTCCATGGATCCGTGGCGATTCCAAGGAATGGTAAGTCTAGAAAGATTATTCAGGTACAAAAGAAAAACCAAAATCACCTCCCTCTCCTCTCCCATGAAGATCATGGTCAATGTAGAAAATACAGAAATGCAGAAATGCAAGACACCTCCAGCTGAGCGCTGGTGGCTCACGCCTGTAATCCCAGCTGCTCAGGAGGCTGAGATCTGAGGTTCGCAGTTTAAAGCCAGCCCAGGCAGGAAACTGTGAGACTTTGTTCAAATATTAAGTATATGTTTCATTATTATTTCTTTTTTTAATTGTTTTCTTTCTTTCTTTTTTTTTTTTTTGGGTCCGGTAGTGGGGCTTGAACTCTGGGCCTGGGCGCTGTCCCTCAGCTCTTCAGCTCAAGGCTAGCGGCTTTTTTCTTTTTGCTTATGTGGTGCTGAGGAATCGAACCCAGTGCCTCAGGCATGCAAGGCAAGCACTCTACCACTGAGCCACCTTCCCAGCCCTATTGTTTTATTTCTTAAGTCTCATCATTTTCTTTTTTATTTTTTTGTTGGTCATGAAGCCTGAACTCTGGGCCTGGGCGCTGTCCCTCAGCTCTTCAGCTCAAGGCTAGCACTCTACCACTTGAGTCACAGCGCCCACTTCTGGCTTTTTCTCTTTATGTGGTGCTGAGGAATCAAACCCAGGGCCTCATGTATGTGAGGCGAGCACTCTACCACTGAGCCACCTTCCCAGCCCTCATTATTATTTCTATTAACATTATAAGCATTTGCTCATATATATATATGATTTTTTTTGGTCAGTTATAGGGCTTGAACTCAGGGCCTGGGCACTGTCCTTGGGCTCTTTTTGCTTAAGGCTAGTACTCTACCACTTGAGCCACAGCTCCACTTCCAGTTTTGAGTGGTTAATTGGAGGTAAGAGTCTCATGGTGACTTTTCTTCCAATACTGGCTTCGAACCATGACCCTCAGATCTCAGCCTCCTGAGTAGCTAGGATTACAAACGTGAGCCACTGGGGTCCAACTTGTTCATATTTTTAAATAATATTCAAAAAATGATTTCCATGGTTATCCATTTTCTTTTCTACCAGTACTAGTGCTTGAACTCAGGACCTAGATACTGTCTCTTCCTTTTTTGCTCAAGGTTGGTGCTATACCACTTGAGCCACAGGCAACACTTGTGAATTTTTGTAGTTACCTGGAGATTAGCATCTCATGGACTTTACTGCCCAGGCTGGCTTTGAAGCATGATCCTCATATCTCAGCCTCCTGAGTGGCTAGGATTACTAGTGCCACTAGCGCTTGCCTAAAAGACAAGCTTTTGTTTAATCATGATTTTTCTTGGGCAGGGAAATGAGAAGTCATTTATACCCCGATTTCCTTCATTTGGTACCCATTATTTCTGTCACCACCAGAAAAAAATTAATTAAAAAATATAAAATGAAGTTAGCAGCTCCCTAGTTCACACAGATAAAGTGCGTGTAACTTAGACACGTACCGTGGCATCATCTGACCCGGAAGCAAAGGCGTCTCCGCTGGGGTAGTACCTGGAGAGAGAGTGGGAGGGAGGCAGGTCAGGCGGGTGGTCCTGCCCTCCTTAGTGTCATCAGAACCCTGGGAAGCGGGTCCCACCCTAGCCCTCCGCATCACAGCCCCCAGTTCCAGGAATACCAGGTCACACAGAAGCTGGAGAGGAGGCTCAAATGACAGGCCAAGCCGTCCCTAGCATTCTAAAGGCAGGGGACACTGATTTCTGGCCTTGTGGTGTTGCTGAGCGGGAAATGGGACATCGTAGGGTTTTTTTTGTTTTTGTCGGTCATGGGGCTTGAACTCTGGGCCTGGGTGCTGTCCCTCAGCTCTTCAGCTCAAGGCTAGCACTCTACCACTTGAGCCACAGCACTACTTCCAGTTTTCTGGTGGTTTATTGGAGATAAAAGTTTCATGGAGGGCTGGGAAGTTGGCCCAGTGGTAGAGCGCTTGCCTTGCATGCCTGAGGCCCTGGGTTCGATTCCTCAGCACCACATAAGCAAAAAGAAAAAAGCCGGAAGTGGCGCTGTGGCTCAAGTGTTAGAGCACTAGCCTTGAGCTGAAGAGCTGAGGGACAGTGCCCAGGCCCAGAGTTCAGGCCCCACGACCGGACCCAAAAAAAAAAAAGAAAAAAAAAAAGTTTCATGGACTTCCCTGCTTGGGCTGGCTTTGAACCATGATCCTCACATCTCAGCCTCCTGAGTAGCTAGGATTACAGGTGTAAGCTCTGGTGCCTAGCCTCTGGCTTCTATGTAAATGCCACTTATCAGAGAGCCCATCGGATCTTTGTTCCTCATCTCCTGGCACTCAGCAGCAGCTGAAATAAACCGTGGATCTGTCCATTTGTGTTTTATCTAGTTTGCTTGTCTGGATAGGAGGGGCAGTGTGTGGCTTCCAGGGCTGCGGACGCCCCCAGCCCGGGGAAAGCCGCAGGACAGGAAGCCCTGTGGACTGGCTACTCACTGACCGGACGCTGTTGACATCAGACTCGTGCGTTTCAAATGCCTGCACACACTGGCCGGAGCGCATGTCCCACACCATGGCTTTCTTGTCGCATCCCTGCAAAAGAAGGTCCCAGCGTCACAGTCACTGTGAGGACTGTCTGCGGACGAGGCGCGAGGTCCCATGCACGTGCGTGGGACTAGCCCGGCCCATCCACCATGATGACGCTGGAACTCACTTGTGGGCTGCAAGGGAGTGTGCACCTTTCCCTCCTTCCCACTTTTTTATTTTTTCAGTTGTGGGGCTTGAACTGAGGGCCGGAGTTTTGTTTTGATTTGTTTTCGTGGGGCCTGGGCGCTGTCCCTCAGCTCTTCAGCTCAAGGCGAGTGCTCTACCACTTGAGCCACAGTGCCACTTCTGGTTTTCTGGTTGTTTATTGGAGATAAGAGTCTCACAGACTTTCCTGCCTGGGCTGGCTTTGAACCACAATCCTCAGATCTCAGCCTCTGAGTAGCTGGGATTACAGGCGTGAGCCACCAGGGCTTGGCCACATTTTTTCATTCACCTGCTCCTGGGCCTTTCCCTTGCCTTTGTTTCCCTTCCTTGCCTTTGACTTTCTAACCACCTCCCCAAGCCCAGACGGCAAAGCTGGCATGGCGGGGGAGTCCTTAATTAGCTGGGGGCGTTGGCAAGTCACCTCCCAGGCTTCTGCCCCATTATCTGCCAAGGAGCTGCGCTGAGCTGCCAGTGTGACCTAGAGAACGGTAATGCCGCCTTCCCACCTTTGCCCGCCACGCATTTGCACGAACTCCCCGTTAATCAAGTTTAGGTAACAAAATGTGTTCTCCTAATAGTCAGACAGAAGACACAGTGTCTCAAAACTGTCCAAGTGGTGGGGGCAGGGGTGGGGGGAAGGGGTCCATCTCGGTGGGGGGAAGGCCCCTTTGGGGTGTGCCACCTTGAGCATGTCCCTGAACAAGGAAATTGGGAGTGTCCCCCAATCGAACTGAAAGGTGCACAGTGCTGGAAAAGACACACTATAACCAGCAGTGATAAGTGATCGTTTTAAAAATACAGTGTTAAAATACGTTTTTTTTAAAAAATACAGGTGCTGGTGGCTCAGGCCTGTTATCCTAGCTACTCAGGAGGCTGAGGGCTGAGGATCGAGTTTCAAAGCCAGCTGAGGCAGACCAATCTGAGAGACTCTGATTTCTAATTAACAACCCAAAGGTCAAACATAGAGGTGTGGCTCAAGTGGTAAAAAAAACAACAACCAAAAAACCCAAGTGAGAGCTAGAGGCCTTGAGTTCAAGCCCCAGCAGGGCCACAACCACCACCCCCAGCCCAGTGTAGTTCTGCAGGATGCATGCAGATGAAGCTCCAGATGGCCGAATGGCACTCAGGTGTTGCCCCAGCGCTGCGCTGGCTGCAGCCGCCCCTGCATCGACTCAGTGGCCGTGGCTCATGTCTAAAGCTCTCAGATGGGAACGAACGCTGCTGCATTTATGGATGTCAAGTACAAGCAAGCCTGGACACGGTTCCCTGGTGGACAGAGGGCCCTTAGAGGTTTTGCCTCGGGTCTTTACCCCAGACACGAAGGTGTTTCCAGTTTCGGAGGGGGCGAGATCCAGGCACAGGACATCGGCGGCGTGCCCGTGAAAACTCTGCAGAAGCTGCCCGCTCTCCACGTCCCACAGGGCGCATGTCCCATCGCCGCTGGCCGTGAGGATCTGGCCAGGAAGAAGGAGAGGGAGAGGGAGGGTCAAGGGAGGTCTGTTGGTTTTGTCTTTCTTTTACACACACACACACACACACTTACAGGGCTCACACCTGCCTGGCACACAGGTAAAGTTCCATGAACATCTGTTGCATAGAACTTTCTCCAGCTGACATGGCCGGGCAGATCACAAACTCATGCACATTCACACCCAAAATAAAATGCCAAAAAAAGAGAACTAATGAAAAATCACAAAAGTGTAAATTAGTAAAATAACAGAAAGAGAAATTAATGAGCACACAAACTATGGGGCTGAACATAATTTGCTGTGTCTGAGTCAAAAAGAATTCTAGGACTGGGCTCACTTTCTTGTCACTGTGTTATACTGTTCCGAGGTCAATAAAAAACCCAATTGACCATCTAAGCAACATAAGGCTGGGAACCAACCAGACAATGTTGAGATTCCAAGCTTGGTGGCTCATGCCTGGAATCCTAGCTACTCAGGAGGCTGAGATCTGAGGATCATGGTTTGAAGCCAGCTTGGGCAGGAAAGTCTGTGAGACTTTTTTGTTTTGTTGATGGTGGGGCTTGAACTCTGGGCCTGGGCGTTGTCCCTCAGCTCCAGGAGAGCGCTCTACCACTTGAGCCACAAAACCACTTCCGCCTTTTTCTGCTTCTGTGGTACTGAGGAATCGAACCGGGACCTCATGCATGCAAGGCAAGCACTCTACCACTGAGCCACCTTCCCAGCCCCTCCATGAGACTCATTTCTAATTAACCACCATAAAACTAGAAGTGGAACTGGTGGCTCAAATGGTAGAGCGCCCCAGTTCCACGGCTGAGCAGGGGGTGGCCCGCCTCACGGGGCTTGTGTACCTGCATGTCTGAGTTGGTGAAGCTGCAGGCCGATAGGTAGTTGGTGTGCATCGCAACCGACTTTTTCTTGGCAGCCATGTTCTCATTTTTGTCAAATGTCAGCGGGTACACGGAGCACTTGTTGTCCAAACCCCTGGTGCGAGAAGAGAGAGTATTGGGGTTCACCCAAGTGACTTTCACATTCCTCTACATCTTGCAAGTTTTTCTTTAGCAAGAAAACGCCTGCTATTGTGACCCCCCCCTCGCCGCCCACATAACCCTCCAGCTTTTACTTTGAAGACTTCTGAATCCCACCCACCCCCCGCCAGAAATTCCTTCTCTTAGATCCCCATTTTGTCATAGCCGTGGGAGCAAATCTGGAACTTCTAAGTAAATTGACTTGCAAATTTCTCTCTCCTAAAAATAAGAACATTTTCCTAATAGATTTTTTTTTTTGTCAGTCTTGAACTTTGGGTCTGGGCGCCGTCCCTCAGCTCTTCAGCTCAAGGCTAGCGCTCTACCGCTTGAGCCACAGTGCCACTTCCAGTTTTCTGGTGGTTTATTGGAGATAAGAGTCTCATGGAGGGCTGGGAAGGTGGCTCAGTGGTAGAGCGCTTGCCTTGCATGC